TGGAAGGGGTGAAAGAGATGTTCCTAGACGAGGAGGAGGATTTCAGTGATGAGGAGGACGGAGACGAGATAGAGGACTGGGACTTCTGAAGGGGGGGGCTTACCTGGGGAAAACGGGTTGTCGGCTATGTGCAGGTAGGGAACGATGGCCCGGGAACTCGAATTATGGGACTGCACATGGGAACCAAGACGAACCAGAAAGGGAGTAGAGTTGTCAATACCGCCGAGCAATGAATGGAAAGGGACCACATGTGATTGGCGGGGGTATGAGATTGTGCCGGAACTCGTACCTTTGGGTAGAGCGTATCTGGAATCCGTTGAGGGAAGAGGAAGGATGGGAAGAGATTGCGGAAGGAAGGGTGAAATCAGTTGGGACGATCGTTCTCTCGGAACAGGGTTGACACCTGTTCTGCACGACGCTCGCGGCAGGACAGAACCCGATGTGGCTTTTAGGGGACGCTGAGGCAAGGGCTCGACAGGCGGGGGAAAGCTTTGCTAACAAAGGATGGGATACGGTCAGCAGTAAAGTCGTGATGGGAGGATGGAAGGAATTAAAACCGCCCGGTGCCCGAATCAAGACCTGGGTACCCGAGTTCGTGGCGGATTGCTTTGGGGGTTTTGATCATGTAACAGAGGTAGACAACACAATGGAGCAAATATACGTGAATTGCACATGGCTGGCGGGGGAATTTTATAGGACGTCCTTGAAATACGGACCCTTCCATGGCGATAAAGCCTGGGAGGTCCTCATCATTTTGGACATCGAAAGGAATGACCGGCAGGAGGTGGCCCCGGAAACCAGGGAGGCCATAATCCGCCGTGAGATAGCAGCAACACCTTGCTATGTGGATTATGTGTTCAAACTATTCGAAGTACTGTGGTCCGACTAAGCGTAGGGAAGTTGTGGAGCCAGACAAATACGGCAAAATTGCTAAGATTAGGGAATGGGATGTTTGACCATTGTAGGGTTCAGCGCGGATCGCGAGCCGGGAGATCAAAGGCGAGTGCGCGATGGCACGAAGAAGGACGTTCCTTGAGGAGCGCCCCTTGGGCATTGAACCGCCTAGGGAAGTACCGGGTGGGATAGAGGTTAGCCTGCCGGCAACAGGCGAGGGATGGCACTAGGTGGCGGATTGGGTCGGGATCGAGCTTGCGGAAAATATGGTTTATTTGGTGACGAAAGTTGAGTGGCGTGCGGCTGAGAATGGGGAATGGAACCCGGACCCACGGGGGCACGTGCGGGCAGAGGGGCGGTTGTATGTGTCAGAAAACGGGTGGAGGGAGTTCGGAGTTCGGCTGGCATCCGGAGAAGACCCGTTAAGCATGTTTGAGGGGGTATGGCAGTTAGTATGGCGAACGGRATTTGAGTTCGCAGATCCGGGGGTTGACGATGTAACGACAGACCTTAGGGTAGCCATGGTCGGGAGTTTCRAATTGCCTAKTGAAAATGTACRAATGAGGYTGCCGCMCTTCCTGCTGGAAAAACTGGGCGGTCTGGAACTTGTTGAACAAGCGGTAGCCGACCTCGCAAGCCTGACATATGAAGAAGCGGCGGTACATCGAGAATACTACCGGGCCTTCTTAGAAATGGGACCGTTTAGCGGAGAGCAGAAGTACGAGGTGCTGCGCATCCTGCGTGCTGTGTTTAGTACCAGGCCAAGGGTTCCGGTGGTGGGAAGTGAGGTCCTGTGGGGTGTCGTCCGACAGGAAATAAGCCATGGGATGGCGTACGTAGATGATCTGTACCGATTGTATGAGCAGATGGAGGAGGGAACCGGTCGGTAATAGGACCGAAGAGAGGGGAAAGAAATAGAAGGGGAAAAAAAGCACTAGGCTAGGGATCGGGGAGTTGTTCGGAAAGAAAATTGAAGACCAAGTGGAATAAGCAAACTCGCGTGTTGTTTAAAACTGTGCAGGGGACTTCTAAGTCAGAAATGGCGATGAGATGCGCCCGGATGCCACGATGACCCATGCACCGCGGCCACCCACGGAAAACAGAGATGGATGGGAGGTGTCGCTCCCAGCAAGCTACATGATTCAAGGATTGGATACCGAGTGGAGAGTCGTGACCCTCGGAAGAGGTCAGGTGTTTATGATGGTGGAATGTTTGTGGGATGGTATGAGAATTAACAGGGGACCGGGGGACGATCTGTACACCGATCTTAGGGTGACGGGGACCGTATACCTGCCAGAGCTCGGGTGGCACATGTTAGGGACGGAGTTGGCACTAGGTCATGGGTTATTGCCAATCTTCCAGAGGGCTACAAGAGTACTAAACCGAGTAGGCCAGGAAGTGCGAGGAAGAAGGAATGTGGGGTTAAGGACTCGGGTGGAGATAGGAGGTTGGCGGGAGTTTAAGGCCCCAATGACCGGGCTGAGGTGTCGAGTACCTCGCTTCATGGTAGACCTGGTATTCGGCAGTCTCAAGAGGGCAAGGGATTTGGTGGACTCGACCCTGGTCTGGATCCACCTCTTCCGGCCGCAAACAACGGACAAGTTCTACGACGTGTCGGTCAGACATGGACCGTTCTGGGGAAACCAGGCCTGGGAACTACTCGAATTACTCGAGATCTTGATATTCGGATTGCCCCACCTGTCGTTTGAAGAGTATGAGTCAATAATTATCCGAGAAATAGAGATGGGGGAAAATTACCTTGCTGGGTTGGCTGATCTGTTCGAGGAACCGGATGAGCAGGGCAAGCCTGAGGGACCAACATGAGAAAACGTGTCAGGAAGAGGTAGGGAAACAAAGGATGGGTACTAAGATAAGTAGGCGGCCGTCAGCAAAAGAGGGGCAGTGGTTGGAGTCCCGATCGACCCAATGATGCGGCAGGAAGGAACTAGGAAGACCACCCGCTCCAAAAGTTCTGAGGCACCTGGATGCCAATAAGCTAAAAGGGCCATACCCGATAGGGAAGCCACTGGGCTCAGGCACCGCCCTAAGAACCTAAGCACGGCAGTAAAGAAACGCCGAGCAGCGGCGGCAAGGCCGGCGGGAGAAAAACCTGAAGGACGCCCTGGGAAAGAAAAGTCAGGAGAGTCGGACCAATTAATATAAGACGCAAAAAACATGAGAATAGGCGGGTTTTAGAGCCGGGACTAGGACAATTATGAACATCCGGCCATTTTTCGCAAAAAAACTTTTCTCCATGTGCAGGCTAGGTAAAGGGAATGGCGACAGAAGAAGAGTTCGATGATCAGCAGAGCAGAGGGAGCCAGGGTACGAATGGGGGTGAGGAACGAAACGAGGGATCAGTGAAGGATCGAGAGTAAACTGGAAGGAACCCGAGAAGATGGAAAAAACATTTCAACAGGAGAAAGTTCCGGGAAAGCTGGGGGTAGCAAAAGGGGACCTCGGGAAAACAAGGAAAGGGGAAACGACGTGAAAACAAGCCCTCGGAACTCAGCAGGAACCACCCCTAAAAAGACGAAAGTCTTAGATACCCGTCGCAAACTGGCAGAGATAGAGAAGCGGACTGCAGAATTTAAGGCAAGGCTCATCGAGCAGATGATGGTCGGGGATGAGGAGGACCCCCAGGGCATAGGGTCATGAGAGGGGCAAAGGACCACTCAAGACGAGGTCAGATATGAAGGAAAGGATAATAGCCACAGGGGGATGCCTAACAAGAAGGGGAAGGACAAGGACGACCCCCCGGCAGAAGGGACGAAAAACGCTATGACACCGCCCGCCATCGACAACGGCACTAGCAGACTGCCCGCCATGCCGAAAGTAACGAGGGCGTGTGACGGACTGTGGAGCCTTAGGGAAAGAGTGTTAGGATGGTTTGACCCAGAAGGAATGCCCAAAACCAGGGAGAAGCGTAGGGAAAGCAAGGAAGGGAAATGGACCAGTGCAGCCGGGGAAGCGGGTGCCTCCGAAGGTGGTCTCAAGAGGGTAGTCACCACACTCAACAGGACACTAAACAAGAACCAGGGGTATCTCGCAGATGCAAAGAAGAAACTCACATTCGATGGGGCTAACATTACGGAGTTTCTAATAGACTATGAGAACCTAGCAGCCCTACTAAAATGGACGGAAGAGGAAAAGATGGAGCACCTGGGGCAGCACGTGTCACTAAGCTTGGGCAGGGACATTATGGCCATCGCCGCCTCCAGTGGATCCTGGAAAGAAACCAGGAATGAGATGATGAGGAAATACCTGAAGACAGAGAAAATGGCAACAGAGGCCAAATTAGCCGCAGTCCAGAGGAATAACTATGCGACTTACAATGATTTCCTATGGGCATTCATGTTAATGGCTCTGCGAATTCCCGGGGTAACGGACCGTATAATGAGTAAATACTTCCTCAGGCAGTTTTCCGCGTTCGATAAAGATAAGATTTTGTCAACATACCAGCAGACTAGTAAGTTCGAATACACGAGAGATGTGGACTTCAGCACTGTAACAGACCTTGCGGAAAAGACAGTACTCATCGAGACGCTAGCCCTGCTTAAGGAAGGGGAGATCATAGATCTGACCGGGAAGACATGGGATAAGGTCAAAAAGGAAATAGAGAGCCTGCACGAATGGGTGCACGGGGTTGATAGCAAGATGGACAGAATGGAAAATGCGCTGTTAGTAATGCAGGCGCAAGTGTCCAGACCCGCCCTCCCGCCCCAAGAGGCCGTGGTTCCCGCAGCTGTAGCAAACCGGGGGTTTGGCAGGAGGGACCCGGCCAACGAACAATGCAAGTATTGCACCATGATTGGGCATTTCGTACGGGCCTGCCCAAGACTCAATCACGATATCGAGCGGCAGAGGTGCAGTAGGTCCCTCAAAGGCGAGATCCTCGGACCCAGGGGGGAGCGTGTTAATTAGAACTCGCCAGGAGGGATGCGGCGAGCCGTCATCCTCCTGAATAACTTAGAGATAGTTGCCGTAGAAGCAGAGACGATAGCCGAGATTGTCTGGGACCAGCCAAGGAGACGGGGACCACAGGCCAATTTTATCCTAGAAGGCAATGGCCAGGATAGGGTAAATATTACCACTCGCCGGGCCGGGGCAGAAAAGAAGCTCATCCAAGATACAGTAATGGAGGAACTCGCAGGGACTAGCACGGGCCAGCAAGAAACCGAAGCCGCGGAACAAGAGAAGGTCAATGGGAAGCCAAGGGAGGACGAACCGGTAGACAAGGCTACGGCCGCAAAAAAGAAGTTCAGGTATCAAATTTCGATCCTGACTTCGCCAGAAATCGATGGCACCTTGAGTAAGCTACTGGGTACCATGGTATCGGTGTCTTTTCAGACCATGCTGCAAGCCAGCCGAAGGCTGCTTAAAGGACTCAGGCAGTTGCTAACGCGTAAGCGCGTGGAGGTAGAGGAGGCCCCGGAACTGCAAGAGCAGGACACAGAGGAGGCCGAGGCGCCGCAAGGAGTCTCCAACCTCCAAAGCATTCCAGGGGGCTTGGGAGAGTTGGAGAAAGCCTTTGCGGACATCCGCCTAAGCCTACCGGATCGTGAAGGTGGCGAAGTCATGAGGGCGCCACTCGGGACAAAGCTTAGCTTTCATGCATTACCACTTGGGAAACTTAAAATTCAAATCGGAACTCACCACACTGACGCGTTAGTGGACGGCAGAGCAGAAATCACCCTTATACGACGGGATTTGGCAACGGTCACGGGGTGCACGGTAAACAAGGAAGTAGGAGGGAGTATCAGGGGAGCCGGTGGAGAAATCCCCTTCACTGGGTATGTCACCAAATGCGCAGTCAGGGTGGGAATCCGGGAATCCATCTGGTCCTTTCAGCAGATGACCGTGATAAAAGAAATGGATCACGACGTAATCCTTGAGAGACCGTGGTGCGCCAATGTGGAAATGATAGGAATGCATCTGCACGACGGCACATACATGGTAGACATAGAGGACCCGGTGACCGACCGCGGGGAACTCCTCCGACTTCTTGGGACCGGAGGAGACCCTCCGAAGGGCAAATTGGCGACATGGTCTCCAACATTCGAAGAAAGTGCACGGAAGGGGGCTTTCCCACGAATGGAAGGCATGAGGGAAAGGGTAGAAATTATGATTGAGGAGGCTTTTAGTAAAAAGGAGTGGATCAAGATGGGCTTGCCCGTAAAGAAGAGGAGGCCAGAGGACGAGTCCCTGAAAGTTATGGTGGCAGAAAAAGGGTCGGAAGTCGAACTTGGGGCCAACCTGCCCAAACCAAAGGAAGCCCGGAATGAAACGTCGGAGGTAGTGCTTGAAATCCCAGATTTATTACAACTCGTCAAGACCATCAGGTACCACAAAGTGCGGGTGGACTTCGCAGCGCTTGCGAGATTTGAGGATGGGGTTCGAAAGGGCTACTGTCTGAATGAGAAGCTAGTCAGCATCCAGCCCCGCGTCTTGGAGGTAGCAAGGTCAATCCCGACCATTCATTTTTTAGGAGAACAATCCCCGAAGGTAGTATGCGAAAGTATAAACCCGTAGGCAAGAAGACCAAGCCGGTCCCGATCCTAGTAGAAACGTCAAAGGAAGAGGCCATGGAGAAGGAGGAGAAAATCTTGCGGGTAATAAGGGAGAGTCGAGCAACGGAAGGGCATCGCATACCAGATGAGGTAGCAGACACCATGAAAATAGGAGTGGAAGGGTTTCTAACAACGGAAGAAACTCAATTGATAAGAAAGGCATGCCGTAAATTTCATTTAGCTTTCGCTTTCAATGATCATCAGAAAGGGCGATTGGATGCAAAGCTAGTTCCCCCTGTCAGGATCCACACCGTACAGCACGAGTGTTGGAGTGATAAAGGACCCACCTATGTGTTTGGGATAGCAGCGGAGGTCACCGACCTGCTTAGGGCCAAAATAGATTCTTTCGTGGCCGAACCCACCTCATCTCCCTACGCGAACAAGTGGTTCGTGTTAAGGAAGCCCAATAAGACGCTCAAGTGGATCCAAGACCTGCAGAAGCTCAATGCAGTAACAATCAGGGATGCAAGCTCGCTTCCACATGCCGACTTGTTGGCAGAATCTCATGCGGGGCGGAGTATTTACTCCCTGGTAGACTTGTACTCAGGATATGATCAGTTGCCGCTTGACACGAGGGATAGACCATATACCGCAATGCACACCCCGATAGGACAGCTGCAGATGCAAGTGACCCCTATGGGCTTCACAAATGCGGTAGCAGAAGCTCAGAGGAGGATGCTCGCCGTCGCAGGGGATATGTTTCCGGAAAAGTGTGAACCATATATAGATAATAATCCCATAAAAGGCGCAAGGTACAAGAACGAGACGGAGGTTGAGCCGGGCGTACGGAAGTTTGTTTGGGACCACCTGCAGGATATTAAGGATCTACTCCAGCGCTTCCTCGTTTACAACATTACTGCAAGCGGACCCAAGTGCATCCTGGCCGTCCAGAAAGTAACTATACTGGGATTCCGCTGTGGAGCTTATGGGAGGAGACCCGATCCAGCAAAGACTGATAAGATCTCTCAGTGGCCGACACCCCTGCGTGCCACGACGGAAGTACGAGCCTTCCTAGGGGTGGTTGGATTCTGGTAGATCTTCATCAAAGGTTTCGCAAAGATAGCAGAACCCATCCGCGTGATGATTAGGAAAGGTAGCACTATGGATTGGACAGAGGATAGGGAAGAGGCAGCCCAGACCCTGAAAGACATCCTGTCGTCCGATCATGTCACGTTAGCAGCACCCTGTTTCAATGACGAGGTAAAACGACCCTTCATATTAGAAACAGATGGGGGACCATTGGCAGTGGGAGGAGTTTTGATACAGAGAAGCGAGGAGGGCAAAGAAAGACCAATCAGATTTGAAAGTAGGACCATGAATTCAGCAGAACGACGGTATTCGCAGTTCAAGAAGGAGGTCTTAGCAATCCTACATTGTCTTAAGACCTTCAAGGCATACCTGTTCGGGAGGCGATTTATCCTAAGGATCGATCCCACCAACGTTGTCGGAGCCCTAAAGAACTACAAGCCCATAGACCCGACTGTCGGCAGATGGATAGGCTTCATATGGCAATTCGACTATAAGGTCGAGCGAATTGCAGGGCTTCGAAATAGGGCAGATGGGTTGAGCAGGGTTTGTATCACACCAGAAGGAGTAGAGGACGCAGAACCAATTGACGCCTTCCTGGAGTACGAAGGAGGGACCCTCGTCATGGATAATGAGATGGCAAATCCGACAATTACAACAGGACAATTGCTGATTCAGACCTTGGAAAAGGGCGCACCTGCAGTGGTTGCAGAACTCAGGGAAAGACCAGTCACCACGGTCAGGCGCAAAGAGGAAAAGGACTCGTGGGGAGCAGAAGTAGGGGCCAGAGAGGAACTGATGGCCATGACCGTGGAGGGGGGACGGGACGCCGTGATGACGTTAGCCGAAGCCTGGGCGCAGAAGGAGTATCAGTATCTAGTCAACCTCACTCGGGAGGAGCAAGGTACGAATTATAAGGAACAGGAGTTCTTCCTCATACAGATGTACGAGAGCGTCTTCAAAAAAATCGGTCTGCTACTTGTAGGGAACAAACAACCCACGGAAGTCAGTCCCAAGGCAAGGGAGGAAGTCGAAAAGTATGTCCTAAGAAATGACCACCTGTTCAAGAAAGAGGAAGGGATGATACCTAGGCGTGTCGTTTGTGGGAGGTCTAGGCAGCTGGACGTAATCCAGGCAATGCATGACGGGCTAGCTGAAGGTCATCGGTCGTCCAAGGGGACACTTGCAAAGATCGTGCCCTTGTACTTTTGGCCAGGGATGGCAGGCATGGTCGCAACGTATTATCAAACGTGTCTGATATGTCAAGAAAGGAGCGTCGTACGAGTTTACGAGCCCCTTCGACCCACCTGGGTACTGGGACCCGGACACCTTGTTTACCTCGACCTTGCCGTTATGCCTGTATCAACGGATGGGTTTAGATACATCTTGGATGCAAGGGATAATCTCAGTGGCTATGTGGAAGCCATAGCCCTCAAGAAGAAGACGGGGAAAGCGGTGGCCGACTGGGTGGAAGATTTCTACCTAAGGCACCCCTTCGTGCGCAGGTTTATAGCAGACAATGGGACAAAATTCGTTAACCAGAAAGTGTTGAACAGGCTTAAGACACTGTGTGTACCGATCAAGATCACCGAGCTCTACCATCCTGAGGCAAATGCACCAGTAGAAAGGGGTCACCGGACTTTGAAGAACACAATCGCAAAGTTGGCAGCAAATAATTTGGGAAGTTGGTCACGGTTTCTCAAGCAGGCAGTCTTCGCCGAGAACATGACTCCAAAAAGAACAACGGGATGTATTCCAGCAGAACTCTGGTATGGAAGGGAGATCGATTTTCCGATAGAAGCTTTGGTCCCTACCTGGAACAGGTTAGATAACGATCCACACTTGAGCACGGAAGAGTTAATCACCGCACGTTGTCAGCAGGTCGCCAGGAATGAGGAGGCACTCGAGGAAGTAGCCAATCGTATGACGGATAACCGAATGAGGGATAAAGCAAGATGGGACCAGGTTAAGAACATTCGGAAGGAGCCACTCCAGGTGGGGGAAAAGGTGCTAGTTAGGAACTCGGCTCTTGAAAGCACATGGTCCGGGCAGCAGGGAAAAAAATTCAAAGGGCCTTACAGGATCGCTAAGCGGGTGGGACTGAACATATTTGAACTTGAGGATCTCGATGGTATTAGCATAAGAGGGACATTTCCGGGACAGAGATTGGTCATATTTTTTAGCAGGGATCCTGTGAAACAGTGGCTACAAGAGGCCCAGGACAGGGAAACTGGGGAATTGACAGCCTGAAAGGCAGGCAGCTGACCATAAGTTCTGGACCGCCTCCCTGTGGAAGTGATCATGACCACGGGGATTGTTCGTTTGTGTGTCTTGACTTTTGTGGAACGTGGGGAGACTGCCTGGGCGGACTGTGTCTGGGCCTGGGAGCACGGGACAGTGTATTATAGTTTTTGTGGGGTGATGCTGTGGACTGCCTACATGGGGCACCTATGTGTTGGGACAATGTGTCGAGGGTTCTAAGGGATAATGGGGTTACCAACTATATGGGGGCAAGCAAGAGTTCTAGGGAAGCCTCCAAAGCCGCAAATGAGAATGGAAAGGAATGCGTGTGTATGAGAGGTACCGTAACTGTTATGCATGAACAGGGCCAGACGAGGAGAAAACAGCAAGAAAACAGCAAGATGGAGTACAGAAATGAGAATGACAGCAATGCCATCAATAGGCCGGAAGAGGGACAGTCGTCTAGGCAAGCTGGAGAGTCAAGCTCCAGGAAAAGGAAGTTGTATGTGGGGTTCGATCACAACCTAGTTGTGAACAGAGGAGGCAAGAAACAAGGGACCAAAGGGCCGTCACCACTAAAGGAAGGGGAGCCAATAGAGCTGCCTTCAGACAGTGATCCTAGTAGTAAGGAAGAGGGGAACCCAGAGGAAGGACAATGGCCGGGAGAGAATGAGCCCGTGGAGTTCATTGACCTCACCCGTGACGAGGAGGAAAATGAGGTAACAACGCTCACAAGGGAAGATCGGGGAAGAGAGGAGGACCTAGGGGAAGAAAAGGACCCATGGAAAAGAGAATTCGGGCCAACTTTCAGCGATTGGTTCGATCAATGGGCCAGTATTTTGCGTTGTCAGTGGGCAATGAAAGGCCAGGAAAAGTTGAGCAGGGGAGAAGACATATCCCCAACAACCTTCTTTTCAGAAGAAACGCTTCGCCATCTAAAAACGATAAAGAGGCTAATGGAGCAAGAGATGGAGGTCTGTGCAAAGAGCGAGGCTCGATGCCGGGCGCCGGGACAGTAAAAAGGGACAGCAGGCATGATGGGAATAGCTGGGAATCGGGGAAGAGTTCGTAACCGGGCAGCAAAGAACGGCCATCTTTCCTTTTTGCGCATTTGAACTTCTTTGGAATGAACTGTGATGAGACAGCTGCTAAGCCCGAAGCGGCTAAGGACTGGGTAACGAATGCTACTTCATATAAGTCGTTGCTTCTTCGGGAATGGGCACGAGAGCTTTTTTGCACTTAGAATAGAATTCTGGATGACTGGGTAGATTAAGGGAAAGAAAAAGGGGAAACAAGGGGGACCTAGATGAGACGAGTCTGTAATGTTGTCGTTGCATTCGAACTTTGTCTCCTCCCTTTTGGGAAGGACTGTAATGAAACTACTTTTTGGACTGAGGAAACTAGTGGGGGTTGGGAGGCTTGTGTTACTTTGTATAAGTATTCGCTTCTTTGGGGAAAATGAAAACTTTTTTTTGGTAGTAAGAAACGGACTTTGGGGATGATTGACTTTGCCTCGAGAAAATAGGCAGGGGCATGTGAACTCTTGAACATTGAAAGATGCAGTCATGGCGAGAGTTTTTCCTTTGAAATTGTGTATCCAGGACTGAGTGAGTCATTGCATGAGCCCTTCTGAGAGGTTAGGGGACCTATGGGTAGAGAGGCACTCTCTCCCCTAGGAGCCTAATCCAACCTACCCCAGGCAATCCCAGAGCATTGAGAAGCATATGAGAAGTCAGAAAAGTCGCAGGGAAATATTGAAATGATGCAACACCCCTTGCAATGGTGAACGGCCGGGCAGGCTAGTGCTGCTTGGGGCCGCGAGCCTCAACTTAAGTACTAGACGCTAATTCGGATGTATGGATGGATGTAAGAATGACAAAAGAAGTCGGATGTATGGATGGATGTAAGAATGACAAAAGACATGAGGAAAAGGAAGAAGCATGCGTAAAAACCCAAGACGATGACCGCCCTCTAACCCCCGAGACGAGATAGGATCCGTGTCCTCGAGGCCCACCCCCTCGGACGCTAACATTACAATGGACAAGGATGGCCCTAACCAAGCTGTTCAATTGAAATGGACAAGGATGACCCTAATCAGGCTGCCCAATTGAAATGGATAAGGATGGTCCTAACCAGGCTGTCCGATTGCAATGTATAAGAATGGTCTAACCAGACTGTTGGACTTGGAAGTGGAAAGAACGACCCTAACCAGGTCGTTCGGAATGACCCTTGACAAGGGTCACTCTGTGGAATTGGCACTGGGGTCCCCTTGCATGACTGCTTGAGATGTATGATACGGGGAGAGCAGAGCTTTGGAAAAGATATTGATGAGATATTGAGCTGAGTCTGAAAGAGACATTGAGCTGGGCCTCGGAAAGGATACTGGACTCAGACTTGGAAGAGATATTGTACTGAGCATTGGACTGAGATTGAGCATTGGACTGAGATTGAGCATGAGAATGGGACTGCGCATTGAAATTGGATTGAATATTGGAAATTGCATTGCATAAACAAGGGACCCTAGGCAATCTGAAATGGACTTGGAAAGAGCCTTGAAACGAAACTTCTCTTTTTTTCTAGTCTTTGGCCTCAGCAAGAGGGGGACACCGGTGCATGCACCGCGACCCCAAGACCTCTATCCCCTTGAGGGAAAAAGTCTCAGCGCGACCCGTTCCTCTTCGAGAGGGTGAGGGTTAAAGGACTAAGGCACCTACCACTTGGATCGGTGCGGGACGTCTGGAACCACCTCCGACAATGAGCTCTAGTCGGGGAATTTCAACTGCGCCTCCTGTTGAATGCCTAAACGTCAAAGGGCGAGAGAGCCAAATGCGCAGGAAAGTCATTCTCATCTAGTCTATTTTGCTACTCTCCAACCACATGCCATATCATAGAGGAGTGGCATGGCCGTTTGGGTCGGACCACGGCTGCCCGCGCTAAGTTGGGCGACACTGTCCAAGGGGAGAGACCGGGCGAGGTACCGGGTGGAGTCCGCCACCACCACGGGGCATTGACACTGCCCTGCCGGAACATTACAACCGTTTCGGGACTAATTGCGAGGTCTTCATAACTGCACTCGCGGACTGATCGAGAGCCCCAACTCTCTTGAAAGAAAGAGGCCGGAATCCAGAAAATCACCACTCGGGAGGAACGATTCGCGAGGAACGCTCTTACGGCTAGACGAGGCCCTGGCAGGCTTGGATTGGACCTACCTGACAGACGTGAGGAGGAACCTTGGTATTGGTGCTCGCCACGTAAGAGAAGAAAGGTCGGACCGGGTAGAAGGATGAGGCGTTGTCCGCTGGGGAAGAACTGATCACTCTTCCTTTTGTGAAGCGGATGGGCTTGTGTCCTTGACTTGCGGTCGGCGGGCCAAAGTTCTGCGTACCTCCGAATGAGAACCAGTCGCGCGATGGGGACATCGCGTTTTGAGTGGGGGGAAGGTGTGCCGTCTACCAATGAATACGCATGAAAATAAGACTTGTAATTGGTCTTGGGAAAAAGGGGCCTGTCAAGATGGCGGGAACAAAAAAAGATTGTAATTGACTTTGTATGGGCCTGAGAAAAGGGGGCCTGGCAAGACGCCCGAGCAGAAAAGATTTGAGTAAGTGACATGGTATAAACTTGAGAAAATGGCTTTGCAAGATAGCCAGGAAGGAAAGGGCTGGTGTGATTGATTCTACATAGACCCAGGAAAGGAATTGGCAGACTGAGAATTGGTTGTGGAATTGGCTCGTATAAGCTCGAAAAGATGAGATGTGGCTGAGGGGTGAGCCAAGCAATGCACATGGAGAGTCAATTAAGTAAAGGGCAAGAAAAGGCAGAGGATGATATGCATGTGGAATTGGCAGGACCTGAGAAAGGCCGGGAGGAATGACCCAGGAAGGATGCATGTGGATTTGGCTATGTCTGAGCTTCGGGAAGAGGAAAAATTGTATTGAAAATGAGTGGATGTCCTAAGAGTAATGAATGAGACAAAGCCAAAATGATTTTTGCTCGAGAATGTTTTCTCAATGAAATGGGAAGATAGATTTGAGATTACGAATGCAGCCTTCAAGACATTGTTGAGAGCGAGAAATAACGTACAATGAAAAACTAGCTGCAGGGCATGTCTGTGGTCAGACTCCTCCAAGGGGCAATGCTAGTCAACCTGATAAGGAAAAAAAATATCAAGCTGCTTAAGCTCCTTGATGTGTTGCTAGCTCGCACCTGGAGGAAGCCATGGCGAATGATCCTTGTGACATTCACCGCCAAAATCTTCCTCTTACCACGGTCCCTTGGGAGGGTGATGGGCTCGTCGTCCTCTCTTTTGTAGGACACACCGAAGGTTGGTGGGAAGCTCTTGGGTATTCGGGAGTTCCAGTGAAAAAGAGATACAGCTGTGAGACGGACGTTGATGCATAGAGAGTGTCACGCGCTCGTTACAAAGACATTATTGAGCTTGGGGATGCTACGCAATTCAAAGGAAACCCGAAACAAAACCTTGAGCCCTCCATGCCCTCCCCCGCCCCAAGGGCGGAAACTTAAAGAAGGACCCGATAAAAAAATGGGAAAGACAAAAAGAACCTTGACAAGCTAACTACCCATCCCACCCCACCTCTCTTCCCTATCTGTCTATCACTCCAAAATTCCTACCGACCATGGATCGGTGCATGATGAGGACATCGAGAATGAGTGGGGGGAATATGTCGGGACTGGTGAGTCCCGAATGACTTCCCGCCACTCGAGAGACTGTATATGACCAATTTGTGCACGAGAAAGAAAACCGGAGGCAGGTATGCTGGAAAGAGCGGAAGCATGTGCATGGACAGTAGGAAGCCAGAGGCTGCCCAGAGTCGTCGGGGCCGCTAGACTAGAAATGGGTTGGTTAAGCAGAAAGCGGCAAAAGGACTATGAGAGAACAGCAGGGGCGACTCATTCCCCAAGGACGGAGAAGGGCCGCCGGGAAGTCGGTAGTAGCATAGGAGGTGCGCAACAAGGGAAGGAAGGAAGTGGGAAGGGACAGAGCGCAAGGCGCTGACGCAACGCGGCGGCAGGAGGGCCAGGGAGACCGCAGGGTAGGTGGGAGCCGACACCCGGAACAGGAATAGCATGCGGGACGCAAAAGGAGCGCGGAGCGGAGGTCGCTGTAAGGCAGAAAGACGTCAGGGGCACCAAGGAAAAACGTGGTACAGGCGGGGGCAGGAGTGCCGGGGACCACATGGGATCAAAGGACGAGGCGGTACCAGCATGACAAAGTGTTGGGGACCACATGGGATCAAAGGACGAAGCGGTACCAGCAGGACAAAGCGTCGGGGACCACGCGGGACCAAGGGACGGCGTGGGGCCGGCAGGGCGAAGTACCGGGAACCGCGTGGGACTAAGGGAAAGACGTAATAAAGGCAAGCCGAAGTGCCAGGGACCGCGTGGGCCTAGATAAAATGGTGGCACCAGTGGAACCACTAGCAGATTGGGTATCGRCGRAATAAAAAGTGTCAGGAGCCGTCGACAGGGATTGTCGACAGAACGGAGAAGAYGGGCGTGAGACGGGAAAAGACGGAGGACACCTGAAGCGACCCAGGGGGTTCMTGGATCAGACGCAACGACAACAAAAATAAAATAAYCAAACACCAGGTGGACGGRACCGTCCGGGYCAGGGGTCCGGATGAAAATGATAAGTACCGTCGCGGCAAGCGTCRACARGAGGAGAGGAGGGTACGGTAGTAATGAGGGGGCCGKCCAGCAGTCCGGGTTGTGCCGGACCAGCCARACCAAGARAAAYGAAGTTYCGAGGGCTCCACGTGGAGAAAAGAATGGCCGGAGAAAATYRGAGCAAGGGGGCCTCAAACTGGAAGCGGCGACAKMAAAAAGGAGCCCCCTTTGRCCTTGGGGGTGCCACTACTGYAGTCCRAGGTGCAACGACCATATGCCGGYTGCAAAATCAGACCTTGGGAGAGGTCCAACAACTAGAAAGASGAGAAATAGYTGTTGGACACTTRTCCCAACAGTAAACGAGAAAAGAAAGGAGGAAAAGGGGGGAGAATGAGACAAAGGAGGAGGAAGTAGTGGAGGAAAAAGTGCCGCCAGGTTGGGACTGCAGCGGTAGGGACTGGCAGGTCTCAATGATGACCTCATCCCTCCTAGATCCTAGGAGGGCAGTCCAGATTGC